CCTACACCCGCTAGTTTTTTCCCTAGCATATGCTAAACCTCTCTCTGACCTTCCCTAGAAGTTTTCCCTATTGTTTTTTTTCCCCGGTGCTTGTCTCTATTGCTGCAATCCGCCTTCTCTGCAACCTGCAGCTGTCTGGCTTCCTCACAGCAGTCCGACATCCACATCTGCTTGGAATCTCTTCCCTACAGCAATCCGACATCCACATCCTGTAGTTGTCCGACTTCCCTGCAGCTTTCCAACAGTGCTCCGGATTACCTGCAATTTTATCCCATAGTCAGTGATTGGCTAAAATCCGTCAATTTCTTGGAATCGCAACCACATCTCCTTTGGCTCAGTTGGAATGATGGCGGTCTCCAACACTAAACCAATTTTAGGAGCTCTTGATTCCACCGGTGGATCGACTCCAACTTTCGTTCCCCTACAGATCGGGGGACCATAAACCAATATGAAATTCTCGATCGCAACTCTTAAATTGAACGACAACAACTTTCTTCAATAATTCCAAGTGGTGTCTTTGTTCATTAAAAGACTTGAAAAATTTGGTCACCACACCGGTATGATCCGTGAACCTCCAAAGGCTGACCCAACTTATGGAGCTTGAGAATAAGAGAACTCCATGGTCATGTCATGGCTGATCAATTTTATGGAAATGTCAATTGACTGTTCAAATATGTTCCTTCAGTCAGTACCCTCTGAACGGTAGTCCGTGTACCTACTCGAACGTAGGGAACTCCAGTCAACTCTATGAGGTATCTAAGAAGATCCGAGAGGCGAAAATGGGATCAAAGATCTGGTGGCACTATGGATGAAATGTGACTTGAATTACGACTACATTTAGGATTCTCCGGCTGACCACTCTCTCTTCCAGAAGATTGTAGAAAAGGATTACATGTTTCAATTCCTGACAGGCCTCCATAAAGACCTTGACAAAGTCCGGGGCCGTATTCTTGGCTTGGATCCTCTGTCTTTCGCTCACGCTGCTTTCACTGAGATTCGTCATGAAGAAAGCCGGAGACTTGTCATGCTTGACACTTCCACTCCTTCAACCGAATTGTTCGTCTTGGTCTCTAATAGCACCCGACAAGTGTTGAAAGCTCTACAGAAAACCTCTAATGCAAAAGGTCTCACTACGACATCAAGGTTTAGCACAGTTCAACCGGCTCCTCTTGGAATATTCCAAAATCCTTTGACATTCTAATAAGTCAGATAGAGTAATTGGTCAAGCTACTTGGATCCAAGCAGTTCTCTGCTTGTCCATCGACCGTCCACGTTCGTCAAGGTACTGTTCCTTTGGCACTCACATCTTTTATCTTATCTAGTCCATAAATCATTGATTCAGGTGCCACGAACCACGTGACTGGATGCTCAGAAGCTTTCTCGACATACTACTCATGCTCTGGGAAAGATACAGTCAGAATTGTTGACGACTCACATAGAGCCACTTCTTTAGAGATTCAAAAAAATGTTTTCCCCTCATTAATGACATACAAAGCATATGAGATATGAGGCCAAGGATCACAAACATGCAACATTGTGATGGGGTTAAGCTACTTTAAGGAGAGGTGATATTTCTTATTTTACTTTGATATTTTGAATGCTATGTATCAAAATTTTTTTTTTTTTAATGTTATTTATATAAAACCATCGTTTTAAAGCGCACAACCATCCACGTTTCTAGAAACAAATCGCCAGAGGTGCATCCTCAGCATTTTCTTCCCTTGAAACCAGCGAAAGGTCTCGGAGCATCATTTCTCCTGCAAGCTCCAATCCCTTTTCCAAATGGGAGACTCCCATGTCATCAACGCCGTTGAGCAGCCACCAGCCAGGACGGTTCTATGTATCGGAGACATCCACGGTTTCTTTTCCAAGCTCCAATCCCTTTGGGCCAACCTCGAGGCTGAAGTCGGCACCGCCGCCTTCCAAACTGCCCTCGTTATCTTTCTCGGCGACTACTGCGACCGAGGCCCGCAGACCCGTGAAGTCATCGAGTTCCTTTCCTCCCTTTCCTCTCGTTACCCCAACCAGTCCCACGTTTTTCTTTGCGGCAATCACGATCTTGCCTTCGCAGCATTCGTAGGTGCACTCCCGCCGCCGCCGGATGGATCACCGTTTTCCGCTACATGGGCGGAATTTGAGCGCAGTAAGGACCGCGAGGGTTGGTTCGATGGCGAGGGGTACGAGCGGATGCACGTCCAGGGAAGGCGGTGGGGCGGATTCATCCGCGATAAGTGGAATCCCAAGAAGAATATGGTTTACAAGGGCTCAATCTACGATGCCGAACCCACTTTCGAGTCATATGGCGTTGCTCACGGATCTCCAGGTTTTATGGTTACTCGTTTTTTTTCCGAATTTTGTTTGATTTCGGGTCTTACTATCTCCACCTTTTTTTTTTGTTTTTTAAACTTGCGCATGTATCTGATAATTGTGACTCAATTTAATCTTCGGAAGTGAAAGTTTTATCAATTCTCTAGTGATGTATCGTCAAAAAGTCTATCCAATCAAATATGAAACTTGATGCATTATTTTATTTGAAAACATTTGAAAGTAAATTCAGGATTATGTTAACTTTAATTTTAGAAAACTTACATTCAAATTGGATGTACTCAACGAAATGAATTCAATTACATCTTAAGTGTTTCTATCCGAATGTTAGTGCTCTAATGTCACGATCCGACCCGGGGATTGTAATTTACCAAGACGTGAACAAACGCTCGGATGCTGTAAAATTAATTTTTTTATATTCATCTGTAATTTAACAAATGAGAGGGTCACAAATCAAATTAAATTAAAGCGGTACGATTTATATTACCTCATTACTCGTTGTCCGCGCTTTTTATTAACGTTTTCTTTTCCAATCACTCATCTTTAATCGTTTAATTAACCTGAAAAATTTGTTTAAAGTAATAATGAATTAAACAAATCAGTGAATACTCACTCCTAAACTACCATAATACAAAGAAAAATAATTATATACATGTCAATTAAGCTTATTTATAAATCAATATAAACATTTAACATACTATTCAAAGAGTTTATATTAATATCATTACTAATATCATTTCATATCTATACAATCGTCACAAAAATTTTCTAAAAATTGTGTCAATTGAAACACATCAATATCAATATGTTTTTTTATATACGTACCCGAGTACATTAGTGTTCCCTCACTAATGTCATCAATGATGACTCTATCATAATCAATCATGCACATGCAAACAATCTATGCAAATCATATCATTCATAATTTCATATCACTCAACTATAATGTATTAATTATTTCATATTATGAGATTGTAATCATTAACATGAAAATGATCGAAAAAAATTTAATAATAGAACAATCAATTGCATTAATCAAACTTAATTAACTCATAGAACTTGTTTAGAAGAGATATCAAAATAAGGATAATTTAAGAATAGTACTCTCCTTAAACAATCTGTTTTCTCTTGACTTCTATTCTTTTAAAATATAACGCCTAAACATGATAAAAATTTAATTAATTTAATAAACTATTTAAGTATTTCATTCATGAAATTCCTTTAAAATTCTTTATTCAATAAATATCTAGCTATGTTTCAAGGTGCGTAGCGGGAGAAGACT